GGGCTGGAGAGGAGCCGGGGACCTGGAGCGATGCCGTGGGGAGGGAAGGAGGAAGAGGAGCTGGGGATGAAGGTTGTTGGGGCTTTGCGCCCACTTTAGTGCCTCGCTCCTGGTTTTTCGGCCGTGGTTTAACAGCGAGAGGCTGGAAACAGGGAGGGGAGAACCAGCATCCCCTGGCCACGCACCCCCCCTGCGCTTTCAGCGTTACGTCCCTCAGCTCCCCGCTTGGTCTCTGGTGGCTTTTTGGCTCCCGCTGCCTCTGGGTCTACCGGGGAAGGGAGCAGGACAGGAGCCAGCGCGGCCCCGAGCTCGGTTTGCTTCTCCCCAGCGCCCAGCACCCGTTTTCCCAGCAGCGCCGAGGCTTTGGAAGGGCGCTTTTCCATCCCCGGGTTGAGCCCAGCTGCGGTTTAGAAACCCCGGGCTGAAGCGACCCTCTTAAATCTGGTTCTTTGACTCATTTTTTGCCAGACCGATTCTTTTTTGAGGGTTTTTTTTTTTCTCTATTTCAAGCCTCACAGAGACCCAACCCTTCCCTTGACATTTATACCCCGCCCTTGGGGGGGTTCTGGGACACCAGTACAGCAACTGGCCTGAACCTCTGCACAGGGCAGATCCCAGTTCTCTGTAAATAGTCCAGTCCAACAAAGACTTGAAGGCAGTTTCCTATTTATAGCAATTTTTTTTTTTTCTGGTTCAAGTACACATGAGAGCCACATAGCTTGACTTTAACATTTGGAATTCTTTCGACTTGAACGCCTCGTGTCTATGTCGTAGCGTTTCGTGCCCATCGCCCGCGTGGTAGCTGCAGCGTGGTACAGGTAGGATTGCAATTATGATTTTAATCAAACAGGTTAATTTGCTTTATCCAGTGCATCCCCCTGGCCAGGCTTTGGGGACTCTGTAGATGTTCCATAGAGCAGAGCTGAAGCCACTCCAGCATCTTTGGACTCCAAGGTTCACACGTGGTTTCTAATTTTTTTTTTTTTTTTTTGTATATGGAAACAGTGGAGCATCCCAGATCCACCGCCTCCATTTCAGTCCCACTTTGACCATTTTGTATTTATCTGTGCTACAACCCAATAAACCTCCTTTCAACGACTCTCAGCGCTTAGTGTCTCTCTGATAAACCGCAGCTTTCCTTCCCCCATCTTTCATGTTTTCGTAAGCGCTCTCCCTTCCAGGAGAGAGCCCCAGCTGGGGGGTTAAGGCTGCCTCCAGCATCACCGCCAACTTCTCCAGCTCCCAGAAAAGTGGGATTGGTCTTTCCAGGGAATCCACAGCCACATGCTTTTCACTGAAGAGCAAGGAGGAGCCCAAGACTGACCTTGCTGCCCACAAAAAATACAAGGTGGAAGTTTTTTCCATCCTGCCCGAGGCATCGCAAGCCCAGGTAAGGCTCCCATTCAATGTTCGCAAGCTCTGATTATCCCAGTGCATTAGACAATTAATTTTACATTGTGACATAGATGCAGTTAGAAAAGAAGCTGAACAGATTCTGTTCAGGCATTGGAAAGATTTTTAATTCTAAGCTGCACAGAGCAGCTGTGGCTCAGCTGAGCTCCAGGGAGCAGCCAGGCGAGCTCCCGGCACAAGCGCTTTGATAAACTATTGCTGAGGGTAGCTCTCCTTTTCTGGGAGAAATACAAAACTCACTTAGCAACAATTCTAGGACACAAATAGGGTTGTTTTTTTTCTCTTCTCCTGTTTTATTTCAAGTTAGCCTGGATTATTCACTAAGTACTCACACGCTTCACAACCCAGTCCAGGAAACCTGCTGCGTGCCCAACGCAGACCCCACCAGCCCCCCGCATTGTTCTTTGGTTAGAAAAAAAGGCTTTTAAAAAAAAGTCACCATCCAAACAGCAAAAAACCAGCATAGCTGCACACTAGAAGAACAAGTAACAACAGCTCTGCCACTGCCCAGGGCCCACAGAGGCTCCAAACAGACAGATGGCTTTTATTTTATTTTTTTTTTTTTTCCAAGTAGCTTCTTCTACAGAAGAGCTGAACTCCAACTAACCATCCAGCATTGAGCAGAGATGCGGACTGAGCCTCTGCAGAACAGAGCCATGAAGGTTTCTGCACCGTGGAGCTTTTGCTCTGCCTCCCACGGGATTGCCAAAGCCACGGGACCCCAAGCGCTGCCACGTCCCTGCCGGAGCAGGACCGGCTTCCTCGAAGAGCTGCCTTAGCCCCAGAGCAGCTGTGCTAGCACGAGGAGCGTGGGTACTCCCACCTTAGTACAGCTCCTGTGCTTCTGCTTCCAATAAATACCTACGACCTCAGAATAGGAAACTCCAATACAATAAATAAAAATATTGCATTTTCTATCGGCCTGTTTGGGAGTCAGTTTGGAATGTCGGTTTTCAGTGCTTGAGTCCCAGGTTAAGCGGTTAATGCTTCCAGCTCCGTGGGTTTCAGCAGCTTCTTGGCAGCGATGATGGTGTTCTTCATCAGCATGGCAACGGTCATGGGCCCCACGCCGCCAGGGACCGGTGTGATGTAGCTGGCTTTCTTCCTCACCCCTGCGGGGAGCAAAGCTCGAGCTTAGCACGCAAGTCAAGAGCGGCAAGGCTTAGCAAGCTGGCTGGTGGGAAGCTGGAACCAGTCTAACATTGCTCACGTTCCTTCAGGATTGCTAAGGAACAGGAGTTTCTCAAGGTGGACTTTTCCCCCCAGTTACTCAGGGCAGGACAGAGCACAGCGGAGTCTGTCCGTCCCTGCTACCGAGCGAGCTTTGCTGCAAAGCCAAGCTGGGGAAAAGCAAAAAGCCGGGTCTAACAGCTGGAGTTCTAGCACAGAAATGTCAAGTCCAAGACCTGTTGTTCTTGGTGGCCACAATAAAGTACCAGTCTGAACATTTGCTCTCTTTTTCCCAGGAGGACACTCCCGTGTCTTTCTCCAGGCGCCCGGAGGTGCGGGGCTCAGCACAGCCACCCAGCCGGGCACGGCTGCAAGGCCAGGGGTAAGTTCTGTGTTTTTATTGAAAAGCAGGAGTACGAGGGATGAACTGGAGTAGGGGCAAAGCAACCCCACTGCTTAGGTTCAGGATGAGTCCATGCTGTGCAGCTCCCAGCTCCCTCCTGGCACACAACGGGAAGGCTGCGCCCTTGCGATCAGCACGACACTGGATGCACCAGGCCAGAGAGCACTGCTCTGCATCTGCTCACTTCCCTGAACCAGGACTTTCTCCTCCCCTTCTCAGCACCCTGGCTGTTCAATGCTCAAGGAACCTGAAGCAGAACCT